CAATGTTTTATGTTTAACAATATCACCCGAGCCGAATTTCTTATCTTAGCAGACAAATGGTCGTTTTCTTTAAACCATCAAGATGGCAACATCGATTTTGAAATTCTTTTTCCTTTTTCCTCTGTAAGTGACCGTAGTATTTTGATGTAATCTCTCAGTTGACGCTTGCAGCGTACTTCATGTCCATAACTGGGTATCAAATTTAAACCTTGCAAGTTGTGCCATGTCACGCAGATGTCGAACTGAATGAGTTACTCTTGTTAACAAATTTCTATCATCATATTTCATTGCGGAATTAAGCGGTAAAACAATTTGAAAACCCATCGTTCATTTGCAAAGGTAACACGAAAATTCGAAATAAATCGCAATTTTGTAATTTTGCATAATAATGAAACCTTTCGTGCGGGAAATAAATTGAGACGGTATCTTTATTACGTAATATATTTTCTTCTGTCACTAGAAAGGTATGCGTTTCAGGAAATTGCAGCTCAATTGTAAACGCCTCAATTTTTCTCTTAAAATACCTGAGGAATCCGAAACGCGAAAGGGCCAAAAATGGTCTTCTCTAACACATTGGGTACGTGAAGAATGCCCATCTCACCCGAACAAATGCAGTTATCGTTGATCGCGTGAGCGAGAGTCGCAACCTTTCGCAACTCAGCAATACAGTTCTTGTCACAAAAATTCTCGCAACGTATCCGTGGGTTCCATTAGTGGTATTCAACAAACATGTCTCATAAGCCTAATCCAGTGTTTTGATGAGGTACGTTTACAAGTTTTGATTTGTAGCTAAGGAAAATGTGCTTTTTAAAGTCGATGACGAAATCGCTCTTTAAAACGCATTCCGTGGTGTCTGACTTCCCGCGATCTTTCTTTAGTGCGTAATACAACATGGCGGCTCAAAGGCATGACGTCACTGGCCTAGAGCAACACAATAGATGGGGCAATATTGTAATCGCGGCTATCAATCCGAGCATTGTTCTCACTGCTAGTTACCGTAAATAGTTACTCAAGAGTGTCATCTAAACATTATTTTGGTTTGCTGCCTGCTACGGAAATTTCATTCAGTCTACGTCTATGAACCACGCGGGTCGCGCATCGAGCAAGCAGTTTCTTTAACCTAGAGTGCTAGAGCAGTTTAAAACTCCTTACACAGGTAAATAGATCATTTTTATAACGGATTTTCAAATGTTCCGACAGTTTAAGCTTGCATGATTTCGATGACGAAAAATAAGCTTCAAGACGGTCGGAATTTGAAGGGCATGTGTCGAAATACCGCGCTTAGGGTGATTACGGTTATTCTTTAGTGTGAATAGTTCGGTTTGTGTGCGGAAAAGAGTGTCTGATCTTAGGACTGAATCTTTTTTCTCAGATGCCTGAATACACACGGGATAACTGTGCACCTTTGGGGAAAGAATTCTTCGACTCAATGGACCGTGTTGACGAGGGAGCCTTGGCGAGGCTGATAGTTGAAATGCAGTTGAATACGTTACAAGACCTGCCCGACCTGCGCACTTTGTTCTTCAGGAGAAGACAACAACAGATGAACTACGTCGCAGCACAGTACGGTAGGATTCCGGCAGCGTATCGCGTTCAACAGCAATATTCTCCTGTCTCTCGAGCGAAATCATGGGCCATGCATGCCTAATATGTCAGAGTTGTTGTCAAGGAGAAAGCTGAATACCACAATTTGACCATGGACATATTTGGTCTAGAATGAAATTGTTGTAAATAGACCGATTTAAGAGGAGTATTTATGTTTCAAAACACTGTGGCAACCAGTGAACGACTGCGGAACTGTTCTATGCGAACTCCGCCAATTTAAATATCTTGCAGGGAAAACTGGATATTTTTCTCTTCGCAAAACAACTTGGATATGAGACTTCAGGTGCAAAGAACATTTTCAAGCAAATTGTTCAAATCTTTAGCATAATATTCATGGACGAAACCGCAGAGGTGAACAATGGTAAGAGTGTTCAAATATTCAAATATCGCCTACCCAAAATGTGTGAAAAATCCTGCTATTGTGTCGAGTAAAAATTGGCAGGCAAAGATATGCCACGTTGTGTAAATATAATATAAAAAGTACTTTTAATTTAAGAAAACTACGATATTTTTGTATAGTTCTAAGACGCCATGAGAAATAAACGAAGAAAGCACACTAGAGCAAAATTAATTTTTTTTAGTTTGCGTGTGCGTGACAAAAGAAAAAAATTTATTGACTAATGTGAATTTGCCTAAGTAGACTTGTAATATTCGAACTGAAATAAAATATTTGCATAAAACTGACTTTGCAGCTGCCATTTATTGTAACGAGGGAGTTTCGCCATAAATGGAATTTATTGTGAGACGTTACAAAGCTTATCTGACAGCTCTGTGATGGTAATTTGTTGGTCGCTCGACAACTTGAGAGATATAAGGAAAAATGAACTTTTCCGGGAACATTTTAAGAAATAAAAAGTGAGATAAAGAGGATAAAATTAACGTAATGGGCCTCCTACTTGCATTTGTTCATCTGATTGCGTATCACAGCACGATCGCTTAAATTCGATTTTTCGATGACTGAACTCGAGATTGGTGTGTCGAGTCTCTCGGTGACGCATAATTTTAGTCGTCGCACTCGAGATAAAAGACTAAATCGCGCTTTCCTTCGCAAATTGCGTGTACGTTCTTAGCCGCTACATGAAAGTGAAGAACACAAAGGAATTAAAATCATTTAAAGTACTCGAAGAGAAAACAAAAGATGTTTAGAAAGTCATTTGTGACGCTCTATCACACTCTACCGGTTTTATCGCAGAAGGCAAGATATTGAGAAGGCGCTGATAAGTTGAAAATGCACGCTCATGCAATTGAAAGCCGGGCCGATATTTTGGTGTAGTGAAGGGTTATCAATCCAATTTAAAACACGCATCTTTTCGTGTCTACTTTGCTAAGTAAATCACTGCGGCGGCGGTAATTACTTTCCGTGAGAGACAGATGTAATTGAAAGTGGGGTTACGCCTTTCACATTTCATCCATAGCTGAGAAACAAAATTGTAAAACGGTAAAATAATACAAGAATATGCATATATTAGTGTCGAGAAGGGACTAAGGAGCGAAAGTGCCGAAATGATACAATTAAAGATGGGGGGTGGGGTAGGGCTGGGGTAGGGTAGGGGTAGGGGTAAAAATCTCCCGCTTCCTGTACTATGTTTTCCCGCCTTTCCTGGCAGTAGGCAGATAACAAATACAAAATTCAGCTTCCTGTGCCGTTTAATCTGTCTGGGTCTTTTCTAGCCAGATAAAATTGCTTTTGACGTATTGCTTTATTTGCTTACGTTTGAGCCAGACCCAGTTCTTGACAATGGACATGGGAAGCGGTTAACAGAGGAAATGCCAAAGTTTTGAGACAAAGTAGACAAAGTTAACATTAAAAAAGGTAAATGTTAAAAAATAAAAAAAAAAATTGTTCCTGGTTTTAGCCTTTCATCTACACATGCGTCACGTTATCAGTCCATAAAAAGTGCTCGACCCGGTGACCTCCGGGTACACTTCCGTCTTGTCTCCTCTAGGGCAGAGGGCAAAAAAGGTAAACGCGATTAGTTTAAAGTTGTAAGCAATATGCTTAGAGTGAGTGTAGCTCATAAAAAATAACATCTAAGGATCGTGGATTGACATCAGCAAGTGACAGACATGTTCATGATCTTCTGCCTCTTCATTTGTGTCTTTCCCTGAGGGTATGTACCGGCGGGGAGGAGAGGGCTGAAACGACAAGTTCCTCTCCTAGTGCATGCCTTCTCAAGTGTTCTCTACTTCCTATCCTTTAAGCTTCCTTAGTGATTAGATGAAAATCATCCGACTTAAATGGTTAAGATAACGATTTTGATCCCTTGTTCGGAAAGTTTCGATAAATTTAGTAACTATAGTGAGAGAAAACTGATTAGTAAAGATTCTTAACTTGATTATTTTAAAGTGGTAATGCGTGTAAAGGTTCAGGCGAGGTCTGTATATTCCACATAGCAAGAATCTTTTTATTTAACAGTTTTAAAACTGGAAATTTTCATAAGAAGACCGTGATGTTAATGAAGTGCAGCTGACGTGTAAGAGGATAGGCCGGCGGGCTCACACCAACAAGCAATTACGTCATTTTGTTGTTGAATGGCTCGCTTTGACGTAATCAGATTCAAGTTGACCCAAACACCTATGACTTCCTGTTGTTCACTTTATGTTATCCGTTCTCTCTAATATTTTTTTCCTTTCTTGATACGACAACAAATATAAAGAACTATTTAAAGCAATGACAGGAATTTATAGCTGAAATGCATTTTTTGTAGTTGCAATGCGTCATCTGATTGACAACAGGAATTGCGATAGATCATCGTATTTCCGTGCCAACTTGCACTTACACCCAGAGCTATTTTTGGCTCAGATGTCTTGGTGATGCTTTTTTTTTTTAAATCTCTAGCTTGTATTTTTACAATATTACAGCAGTCCTCTATTATGTTGTGTCAGGATTAATCCGTCCTTGAATATCGATCAAGGACCATTGACCTACATAAGTACTTGTGGAAAATAACATCGATAGTGCTCTGTGTTTGTTTTGAAGTAAATTTGTCGCACAAATAGAGATGAAGTCAACAACAACAACATATTAAAGTGATTATTCTAACTTAAGGAAAAAAAGAAATTTTTACATTAAACCAAATTTTTATTGTTCCGGATGATTAGTTTTTCCTCCTAAATATTTGTGACGATGTTTATTTACGATACCAAGATCGACTATATATGGAGTAACTAGAAGGGTAATTAACCACAGAACCACCCATGCGCACAGATCGGGAACAACCATGAATAGCGTAGATGTTACTTCTCAACGATTTGTACCCAAGCTTTCTAAATGTTCCATAGATCAATCAGCCAGTCTGTAACAGTCCTTTTATTCAAACCAGTACCCAGTTTCGCGCAAAGATGCGAAAACTCCGGAGTGGCATAATAATCGTTGCGTGCCGACGCACGACTAAGAAATCTTCGGTGAAGAGACTGATATCAGCACTGAAGCTCCTGACTGCGCTATAGTAAACAACTCTGAATTGACCTATTTTAGCATGGTCGAGCATTAAGCCAAACGCAAACAATAAGTGGATATTTCTAACCTCTGTGAAAAAACGACAGCCAAGAATCAATACGTTGTAAGTGTTTTGAGCTGTGAAAACTACTTTTTAGAATCAAAGCACTTGACGCTTACCACTCAAAGAACCATATCAGGCTTTGCGGTTTTTCAAGTGGTTTGAAAATAGATCGTGCTGTTACTGCACAACTCGTGGGAAAAAAAGAAACTTCGATCTCAGTCGCGTGAATTTACTAAACAACCGTCGGTACAGTGGTAAAGGAAGCCGACATTGTCTTCCGGCTTCCGCATGCGAAGTTCATGAGCATGTTTCAGTTTTATTTCCAACACACACAGAGGAGGAAGTTACAATAGATATGATGGATTAGGCCATCCAAATAAAATGAAAAACAGATCACTACAGTTTAACAATTCCGTGAGCCGGTTGATGGAAACTCAACACAAATAAATTTTTTTTCGCCCACAAACACTCAGCAGCAGACATGATTAAGGGCGTGTGTCCGCCTGCTCGCCTTACGTCTCTACATCTTGTACTTAAGAAGGGCGTCGAAAACATTTGTAAGAAACGGATATATAGGAACGCTCTGGAAAGGGGAAAAATCTTGAACTTAGAGACCAGCACATACTATACACAAAGTAATCGTGGCTCAATTATTTGTATCCTTGAAGACCAGATATTGAAAAGAAGTTAAAGCAGTTTGGTGATTTGGTTTATTCCCGTTGATCGTGAACTTTGACATGTGCAGAAAATTAAAACAGCAACAGTAACAAAAAAATTTGAGGTTTTTTTCTTTAATCAGGTAAAAAGATGGCAAAATGCAAATTTATTTTTTATCCATTTTCCACCGATAAATATCTGCACTCACGTAAAATTTTACAGTAATTTGAAAATTCACAAATAACTTATGCACATTTAGTGCCTCAAAAACGAAAGAAAGTAATAGCACTACTTAACTATTTATAATCGCTACCCTTCAAAACCTCTCATAAACCAGTTTTATATTTAAAATCTTAAGGGGGCATTACGGTTGGATTTTGAAGAAAAATTCACCCTTTTTCTTATCTCCTTTTAAGTGATACCAGAATCCATCTAGTTTCCGATTATATGTTTTTTACGCTTAATTCATGCGCCGCTAAAAAACAGCCGCTTTTGAAGGCTAGTACAGTGTCAATTTTGGTTGCCATGGTAATCACAGGTAATCCAATCGTTTTAGCACGTTTCATTTCTCCAAAATTGTGCAAAAACTCATTCCATTTGATCCTGAGACCCTTCAGTCCAGCCCCAGATCCTTGAAGTTAAAATTTCCACTAATATGAAGCCCAGTTACAAATCGTTCAAATCATGCTAAAAGTTGGGAGAGACAGTCTGTTTTGAGGAATGGTGCGTCAAGAAGAGAGGTTATGGGGAAACCAGGAAACTAAAGGTTGTGCCGAAGAGAAGGAAAGAAACGCGAGCTGTAGAAGTCACCTTTGTTGGCGAAGATGATGTTGGCGGCGAGCAAATCTGCCAAATTACTGCCTAAAATTTTCAAACCAAGAAAGGCACAAATACTGTCATGGTGCAAGTTCAAAAGGGGATGCCACTGTAACAAAATTTTGGTGAGTATTTTAAAAGGAAATGACAAAAAAGTGAGGGGCTCCGAGTAAACCCTCAAAATAGCCCTTCAAAGTAACTTGTTAGTTATTTACCTACAATAAACAACATGTTTACTATAAACATGCCATGATGTAGGCAATTACTTGGGTGTACTTCTTACCAAGTTTGGGCTGGTTTGATTGAATTGTTGATTAAATATGATCTTTTTTTTTAAATAAGTTACCAAAATCTTACCATGAACCAACCGTTATGCCCCCTTAACCGATAAAGCAATAACATGCACCAACGGTCGATGCAAGACAATCCGCATTGAACTCGCCCTGTTTCAATGTTGGATCAGCAGTGAAGTTTTTATTTTAACCTTCTACCAAATCGTTCATGGTCACGGATGTCGGTTATTTCTATACATAAACCTTGCGGAGCATATACGGAGCTTATGACCCACATAAGTTTTCTGTCATCAGTATTCCTTTGATAGCTTTTATGTTACATTGTCGACCTCTGCACAAGTTTTCAAAGTGTATATAAGTTTCCGTATCTCCTCTCTTTTCTCTTGGATTGAAGAGAACCAGTCTGGTTTCTTTA